CACAGGCATCCCAGCTGCTTTGTCTCTCTTGGATTGTTCACTCTGCACAAGGCCAAGAGCAAACACACTTTGCTATTCCTCTGAACCTTGCCCCTGCCATTCCTGCTTTTTTCTCTGCCTGGAAATTTCCTTCATTTCTCTCACTTTTGGAAGCTCTTGTGGGCTTAAGGCCTGGCAAACCACAGCAGGCAGAGAAGACAGTGCTGTTGTCTCTGCAGGGTGCCCATCAGTTTACTTTGCTTTGCTTTCTCCCTTCTCTTTCCCCTTCCCTCCTGCAGCAATATGGAGGGCAGAAGAGCAGAAGACCTCTCTAGAAACTGCCTTGAAGGAAGAGGCTGTGACTGTTCGTCAGGAGGTGGCATCACTGCAGAGGAAACTGGAGAGCCAGGAGAAGGAAAGGAAGGATGTGCTGGTGAGAATGGCAGATGCCACAAAGGGCCATTTCCTAGCTATGTTTGCACCTTGTGTTACCAGTTCTAAGGAGCACCTTTTTCCAGTTTAACTTTCCTAATTGCATTCTTCTGAACAAGGAGGAAATGATGTTGTAGCCATGTCAAAGCCAGTTAGCACTGAGGCTGCTGATTTTCCTCCATGCTGGAGTTCTGTGCCCTGGAAGCTTTAGTTCTCCATGTCCACACTGTCTCCATTGACATTGCATGGTTTGGGCAATTTCTGGTGTCCAAATCCATGTTCAGATTTCTAAATATCTGGAGCTGGCAGGAGGGATGAGAAGACCTAGGTTGCTGTTAATTGAAAGGTGTTTGGCCTTGGCCGTGTGAGAGCAGGCAGTGGGGAGAGAAGAGAGGAAAGCCAGGTGCTGATGCAGATCAGGACGTGTGCCTGCAAGGGGAGAACTCGTCCTGAGTGGCAGCAGGGAATGACTGATCTGGCCATTGGTGCTGCAAGAGAGGGCAGTGGGGCTCTCAGGGATGCTGCCATGGAAAGTCTACACAGGAGTGTTGGAAAACCACTCCTGTTGCCCCAAGGCCTTGGAATGAAATGCTGAGGGTGTTTGCTCCTCCTTCCTGATGGAGAGCACATCCTCATGGCACTGCCTAAATCCTGCTTAGCATTGACTTGAAATCCTGGCTGCAGTTCTGGCAGCTCGTGCCCAAAGGAACACGGGAGTGGAGCTGCCAGAGGTCGGGGACGGGCAGAAAGGAAGCTGGGATGGGCTGAGCGAGCTGGGAAAGAGGCAGCGTCAAGGGGGGCCCAGCCAAGGTCTGCAGCAGCCCGAGAGGCAGAGAGAGAGGGGGGCAGCACGTGCCTGCCCCTGCAGCAGGAGTCCAGATCTGGTATGAGAAGCAAACCAAGGGAGGCAATGAGTGAGTCTTCTTCTCCCTGTTTTGGAAGCATGAACGGGAATTGTACCACCAGCAGCTGAGAGACCTGGAAAAGGACATGGGTGCACCTGACATCCAAAGAGGGAAGAAGATAACCCAGGAATTGGAAGTGGAGAGGGAAGACATGCAAGAAGAGTTGAAGAGAAGAAATCAAAGGGACAGAGAATGTTCAACTCCTGAGTGCTGCACTGAGGAAGAGTGAAATGGACAAAGGGACTCTGAAGAAAAACTTTGTAATCCTGCAGAGAAAATCTCCTGACAACTGCATGGGCCAGTCTCATCTCCAGGTAGGCACAGGCACTGACCTTCAGTCCACTCCAATGTCCCTGAAGGATTCCAGTGATATTTCCCATAAAGAAGTGGGACTCTATATCCCTGTGAGTCCAGGCCTGCTTGGCCAAAGCAGCCCAGGCTGCGGCAGGCAGCCTTGTCTGTCTGCCTGGCCCCAGCCAGAGACCATTGACTGGCAGATTGTTTCCTGGCATGCCCAGAATGACTGCTACAGCTCTGGAGTTTGCTGTTCAGATCAGCTGCAGGCCAAATGCTGGGCATGGGGAGCTGCTTCTCCTGTGCTCACACAAGATCATGGCAACACGTGGGGATTTGGATTTGGTGTGGGAGGGAATGGAGCAGGTGAGCAGGGCGATGGACTAAACCCAGCAGAGTTTTGTACCAAGAGATCTGAGCAGCAGCAGCTGCACTGCTGGTGCCTCGAGGATGCTTGCCAAGATGGAGATTTCTGAGGGACAGCTCTTGTGGTGTTTGAAATAAGGCAATCATCTCCCCTCTGAATCCCCAGCAGGCTGTTGGAGCACAAGAGGAGCAGCTGTTACTTGTCTCACAGAGCAGGCTGGAACCTCAGCAACCGCTTGCATCAGCAGATGATGCCTGAATGAACCACTGAGCCCAGGAGAACTTTTGAGCACGTAAAATGGGCTTTCTGTGCCTCCACGGAGCCTCAGGCTCCTCTGGAGCACAGCACGTTTGCCCAGGCAGTGCTTTGCAGTGCCCTGCTTGTTTCCTTGCCTCTCCCTGTCCCTGCTGCAGGCACAGCCTTTTGTTTGTTCTGTCTCTTGCGGCAGCCCATGGCTTTCTCAAAGGTGCCTTCACTGCACTGTCTCCCTCCCTGGCCCCGTGTCCCTGGACACACCCTGGCCTCTCTTGCGCAGCCCCCAGCGAGAGCTTTTTGCCCCCAGTGTTGTCTGGTGCAATTCAGGCTCTCAGAGCAGAGATCTTGCATTGATGTCCAGAGGTTCTTTTGCTCCATGTTTGCTGACAGGTTTCTGTGACCTTTCTCCCATCCAATGTGCAGGTGGAACGTGAAGGAAGAAGAATCAGAACTTTTAGGAGAGTGTTCCCCCCAGAGTCCTTTACGTTCAGTGTCTCCAAGTCCGAGCAGCAAAATAGGTCAACTTCTGAAAGAAGCTCCAGCAGCTCAGGGGAGCAGCAGTAGCCCTCCTGCTGATGCACAGCCTGTGGAGCAAGGGGTCAGTGGCCCAAATGTGTCCTTTGGAAATGAGAGTTGGGTTCCTCACTGCTGTTGGAACTCGCTCTGCTAGACCTGTGGGGGCTGAGGGATGTACGTGGGAAGGGTTTGGCAGCCGTGGACTGGACTTGTTGATCATCTGAGCTCTGTTCAGGGCCAGTCTGGGAGCCTGTTCCTTTCCCCTTCCCCGAGGGCAGAGTGTTGGTGAGGGCTGCAGTTGGAGGCTGTGTCTGCCCTGACAGCCGGTACCGTGGGGCTGTGGATGCTGCTGCCAGCGTGGGCTTGTCTGAGCCGGGCCTTGTGCCTCTTTCAGGTGTCCCTGCTGCAGTCACAGCTGGCCCGAGACCGACAGCACCACCAGCAGAACTACATTGAGAGCTGTTCAAGGACCAGCCAGGAGCTGTCAGACCTTCACCAGGAGCTGTCCTGCTCCTTTGCAGCTGTGCTCAAGGAGCCCAAAGCTGCTCTTGTGGAAGCAGAGACTTGAAGCTGCATCAGTCTCTGAATCTTAACTTGGCAGGGACATCCTTGGGCCATCAGTCTCTGGAGAGACAGGCCCTGGAGAAGGCAGGTGCAGCTCTTGTGCACAGAGGATTTGTGCCCTGCTCAGAAGGCAGTTCCTGTCAACTGGGGCACAGAAATCCTCCCTAGGACACAGACAAACACTATCAAAGATGAGGGCAAAAAACACCTGCCAAAGCTCTTCCAAGCAGACCCATTTGGTTCTTGAAGGTCTGTTCCTAGTGAGGAATCTTTGATGTAAGCAGCAGGACTTTTCTTCTGCCTAGAAGACCTAGTGATATATTCGCAAACAGAGAGCAGAGCAGGAAAAACATGCACTTGTGGCTGTCTCAGGATTCTTAATCCATTTTATGAGCTGACGCTGCTCTTGGCCGCCCCGGAGCTCTGGGCTGGCTCCACAGTGCCCAGGGTCCAATGGGAGCTCGCGGAGGGAGGGGTAAGGGGAGGAGGTTACAATACCAGGGACCAATGGGGATACAAAGAAGGCGGGAATACAACATAACAACCAATAGTGTTTTGAGGAAGGGATGACATACATGGAAGGAGCTGGAAGGAGAGGTGGGGTTTACAGGGATGGATGGGGAGCTGGGGCAGGGTAAAGGTGATTGACGGGGAACATTCAGAAAAACTGGGAGGGGTTTACATAACAGACAAATGGAACCAACCAAAGCAGTAAATGGGAGACAACCAGGAACATATCAAACAGACGAAATACTAACAATTTTAACAGAACTGAATAAACATACTACAACAATGAGCCTTAAACACTGCAGCTCTAGGCATTTCTGTGTAGGAATTTGAAAAGTCCCTGAAACACCATTTTTCCTCCTCAGGTGGCTGTCCTAAAGGCAAAGCTTTACTTTCCGTGAATATTTATAAACACCAAGAACCTTTTTAGGATTTTTCTTACATCTCCCCTTGGTCAGTGTCCTGGGGTGACTTTGTGATACTGGTATCCCAAATCGTCTGGTTTATGTTATATATTAAGTTGTGCACCTTTAAGACTGGCTTTGAGAGCAAGAGAGGGGGAAGAAGAAGCGCGCAGTGTGTTAAGGAAAAACATCACTCCCACACATCCCGCTTCTGGACTGTGGTGTCGGCAGCACAGACAGACAGCGGGACAGAGCTTCTCTGGCTTTTAGTTAGTTTTAGCTAGCTGAGGCAGAGGAGTTCCCTGGACCTTTGTTTTTTTTCCAATTTTCTTGGATCTGTGCAAGCCTGCTCTGGACTGAACACCCAGCCAAACCCCGGGAGCTCACGCCTGTGGCCCACCGGGGCCTGGGCCTCGGCACTTTTCCAGCGCCGGAGGGACTGATAAGAACCTGAGCGAGCCGAGCTACACCACATGAAAAAGACTTTTTCTTCCTAGACTTGCCATCCCATTGAACAGCAAGAGGTTTTATTATTTAATATTATTCAATTTCTATTAAATAAACAGCTTTTTCCACTTCTCTCCAAGAACAACTTCTTTTTTTTTTCCCTTTTCCGGATCAGTTGGTGGGGAGGGGGCATTTCCCTGAGGAAAATCCCCATTTGGAGTTTTCCTCCCTAATTTGCCCTAAACTAGGACACCTGTCTAGAGAAAGGTTACCTCCCCACCTCCGGGTCCTAATTCCCCCGATGACCCAACTCACAAAAACCTTCCCACCTGGTCCTAACAACCAAGGGAACCCTCCCACAGACGGTGGCCTCTTCCCTCTTAGGTCTCTGCACTGTGGTGTACAGACTCCGGCACATTCCCGGTCTTAAGGACCTCAGTGTCCTCTCCCAAACTTCCCAAGCTCAGGACTCTCAGTTGGGTTTCTGGGGAACGCCTCTCTCAGGTACTGTTCCAGGCTCTTAGGGGTCCCTAGGGGTCACCCGTCTCCCTTCTCTGGGTCCCCGGGGTTTGCCCATCTCCCTCCTAGCCTAAGGGGGTCCCTCCTTCCCCCTCCAACCCAACACCTTACCGGTCAGAGTTGCTACCTGGAGTGGGGGAGGGGGTTCTCCTTGCTGGGTTGTCACTCCTGCTGGCCTACGGGTTTTATCCAGCAACCCTTCCGTGGTCCCGACATAGTCCAGGGGTATATAAAAAGAAAATGCGCTCCTCCCAAATCTGTGCTGCTCCAGGACCACCTCTGGGCGTGAATATCCCAGACGAGCCCTCAAAAATTGTCAAAAGCAGGGTCTGGACTCTTGCTGAATGCCAAAAAGCAAGTAGCCAAACCTTCTATTTGATAACTCAAAAAAAAAAAACCCAACAGGAATTGGAACCCAGGCTAGTCTGAATTCCCTCAATTGATAACATGGAAAGGAGAGCCCCCGAACACAGCTGTGCAAGAGGTTAAATATGGCCTGATCCCCAGGGGAGGGTACAACCCACGGTGCAATGGGAGATCTCGGGAGGAGAAGTGAGGAGAGGTGGTCACACTCTCAAGGACCAATGGGGATACAATGGAGGCGGGAATGTAACATAACCACCAATGAAGTATCGAGGCAGGAATGGTAGACATGAAGGGTCTGTAAGGAAGAGGTGGGGTTTACAATGATGGATAAGGGGTAGGGGCAGGGTTAAGGTAATTGATAAAGAATGTGCACGAAAACTAGGAGGGGTCTAAATAACAGACAACTGGGGTCAAAACCAACACAGTTAATAGGGGGGGAACAAGAACATACCAACAAAACCAACAATTACAATCATCCAAACCCTATTTTAACACTATATAAAAGAGTTCATTCAAAAAACTTCTAACATATTTAATATAAAATTAAAAAAGAGGGAGGTGTAAAATGGTGCTTTGGATGCTAAAATGTTTCAAGAAAGCACCAAAAAAGGCCAAGCACAACATTCCCCTCAGGCCTGGGCTGGCTGTCCAGCAGCTCAAGGAGAAGAGTTCTCCAGCAGCTCAGGGGAGCAGCAGTAGCCCTCCTGCTGATGCACAGCCTGTGGAGCAAGGGGTCAGTGGCCCAAATGCGTCCTTTGGAAATGAGAGTTGGGTTCCTCACTGCTGTTGGAACTCGCTCTGCTAGACCTGTGGGGGCTGAGGGATGTACGTGGGAAGGGTTTGGCAGCCTTGGACTGGACTTGTTGATCATCTGAGCTCTGTTCAGGGCCAGTCTGGGAGCCTGTTCCTTTCCCCTTCCCCGAGGGCAGAGTGTTGGTGAGGGCTGCAGCTCGAGGCTGTGTCTGCCCTGACAGCCGGTACCGTGGGGCTGTGGATGCTGCTGCCAGCGTGGGCTTGTCTGAGCCGGGCCTTGTGCCTCTTTCAGGTGTCCCTGCTGCAGTCACAGCTGGCCCGAGACCGACAGCACCACCAGCAGAACTACATTGAGAGCTGTTCAAGGACCAGCCAGGAGCTGTCAGACCTTCACCAGGAGCTGTCCTGCTCCTTTGCAGCTGTGCTCAAGGAGCCCAAAGCTGCTCCTGTGGAAGCAGAGACTTGAAGCTGCATCAGTCTCTGAATCTTAACTTGGCAGGGACATCCTTGGGCCATCAGTCTCTGGAGAGACAGGCCCTGGAGAAGGCAGGTGCAGCTCTTGTGCACAGAGGATTTATGCCCTGCTCAGAAGGCAGCTCCTGTCAACTGGGGCACAGAAATCCTCCCTAGGACACTGACAAACGCTATCAAAGATGAGGGCAAAAAACACCTGCCAAAGCTCTTCCAAGCAGACCCATTTGGTTCTTGAAGGTCTGTTCCTAGTGAGGAATCTTTGATGTAAGCAGCAGGACTTTTCTTCTGCCTAGAAGACCTAGTAATATATGCGCAAACAGAGAGCAGAGCAGGAAAAACATGCACTTGTGGCTGTCTCAGGATTCTTAATCCATTTTATGAGCTGACGCTGCTCTTGGCCGCCCCGGAGCTCTGGGCTGGCTCCACAGTGCCCAGGGTCCAATGGGAGCTCACGGAGGGAGGGGTAAGGGGAGGAGGTTACAATACCAGGGACCAATGGGGATACAAAGAAGGCGGGAATACAACATAACAACCAATAGTGTTTTGAGGAAGGGATGACATACATGGAAGGAGCTGGAAGGAGAGGTGGGGTTTACAGGGATGGATGGGGAGCTGGGGCAGGGTAAAGGTGATTGACGGGGAACATTCAGAAAAACTGGGAGGGGTTTACATAACAGACAAATGGAACCAACCAAAGCAGTAAATGGGAGACAACCAGGAACATATCAAACAGACGAAATACTAACAATTTTAACAGAACTGAATAAACATACTACAACAATGAGCCTTAAACACTGCAGCTCTAGGCATTTCTGTGTAGGAATTTGAAAAGTCCCTGAAACACCATTTTTCCTCCTCAGGTGGCTGTCCTAAAGGCAAAGCTTTACTTTCCATGAATATTTATAAACACCAAGAACCTTTTTAGGATTTTTCTTACATCTCCCCTTGGTCAGTGTCCTGGGGAGAATTCCTGTGACTCAGGAACTAATCGCATCCCAGAAGAGCATGTGGGTCTTGAGAATGCTGAGCCTTAAAACTGGTGCTGCCTGGAGCAGCAACATGGAACTCATGTTATGAGCCAGGTCCCTGCCCAGCTGCCCAGCTTGGGCTTGGACCTTGCGACGGCCAACAGCACTTTGATCGTGTGCTAGTGACCCTGCAAAGGCCAAGAACGTTTGAATATTTGGGTCAGGACCCGGCAAAGGCCAAGGGCTTTTGGACACTGGGGTTAAACCCTGCGAAGGCCAAGGGCCTTTGGACACTGCACTTTGGACACTGTTTGTGCCAAGGAGCGGATGGACACGCGACGGGT